GTTCATCCATGTGTTTGCACGTGATCTAGATATTCTTGAATTGTTGATTTACAGCTTCACTCCTTTGTGACCAAAGAAAGAGCATGGTATGGTTATGATTTTTTTTAGTTTGCTGAGATTTGCTTTATAGACGAATATATGGTCTATTCTAGATAAAGTTTTGTAAACTGTTGGGAAGAATATGTATTTTGCAACTATGGGGTGAAAAAGTTCTGTAGATATCACTTAGGTCCATTTGGTCCATACAGCTAGCTCTGTCATTTCTTTGTTGAATTTGAGTCTAGTTGATCTGTCCATTGTTGAAATCTGTTATTATAAATGTATTGGAGTCTTTGTCTCCCTTTAGATCCACTAACATGTCTTTTATATAGCCAGGTGCCCCTTAATTGGGTCTGTATATGTTCATTATAGTCACATCTTTCTGTTGAATTGATCCATTAATCATTACATAGTGTCCTACCTCATCTCTTTTAACAGTTTTTAATGTTAAAATCTACTTTCTCTGATATTAGGATGGCAACATCTGCCATTTTTTGTTTTCCTTTAGCATAGAATACATTTTTCCATCCTTTAACTTTCATTCTGCATATATCTTTGTTGGTGAGACATGTTTCTTGTAGGAAGCAAATAGGTGGATATTATTTTTAATCCATTTGGCCAATCTGTATCTTTTAACCAGAGAGTTGAAGCTGTTTATTTTCAAGGTGACTATTGTTAAGAAATGACTTGGCCCTGAAATTTTTCTACAAATATTCCTATTGCTTACTTTGGATTTCCTTTGTACTTCTACTGGGAGATTTTCTGCCTTCGCATTCTTTCATAATGATGACTTTTTTTGTGTGTTTCTGTGTGTAGCATACCCTTAAGCATCATTTGTAAGGCTGTATGAGTGGTGACAAATTTTTTCAATTTGTATTTATCATGGAAGGTCTTTGTTTTGCTGTCACTTACAAATGAGAGCTTTGCAAGGAATGATATTTTGGGTTGACAGGTTTTTTTTTTTCTCTTAAGACTTAAACTAAGTCTCATCATTTTCTCCTATGCTGCATAGTTTCTAATGAGAAGTCAGCTGTGAGTCTATTTGGAGTCCTCTGAAAGCAATATGTTGTTTCTGTCATACACAATTTAGAATCTTTTCTTTATGTTTTCACTTGTATGTTTGACTACAATGTGTCCTGGTCAAGATCTTTTCTGATCTGTGGGGAGCAACTAGACTAAGTTACTGGAATTAAGACTTATTCTATGCATCTGCTCTCCCACAATATGGCGCTGGGAGAGGAGTAAAAACAACTTTTACACAGCTGCCTCCAGTTCAACCAGTAACCTGCAGGAGCTGATCCTGTTCCTGATTGGAGGAGAGCAGCGTACTCGGCGTGTGGGTAGCAGAGTTGGGATTGGTGGAAGAGGACTATAAAGGAGGAGAGAGACAACATGCACCAGGAACATCTAAGGGGAACACCTGAGGAACATCTGAGCAGCCCCCGAGAGAGCTGGCCGACGGTGTGCCGCTCCCCCGCGGAAGTGGGGAAAGTGGCAGGGGGAACCGCCCTTCCATGGAGGTGGAAGGGTCGGTAGCCAACCCGGGAAGAACCAGCAGCAAACCCGGGGAGGGCTGAGCAGACAAAAGAACAGCGCAGGGTCCTGTGTCGTTCCTCCATGAAGAGGGGGAGCAACACTGATCATGTCTTTTAAAAGTTCTGTGTGCTTCCTCTACTTGGATGTCCCTTTCTTTCTCCAAATTGAGGAAGATTTCTGTAATTATTTCACTGAATAGGCCTTCTATACACAATGTCATGGCTGCGAAAGAACTTTTATGATCAGTCCCATTCACAATAGCTCCAAAAAGAATTAAATACCTTGGAATAAAGTTAACAAAGAATGCCCAAGATCTCTACAATGAAAATTACAAAACACCAAAGAAAGAAATAGAAGACATTAAAAAAGGAAAAATATTCCATGTTCATGGATTGGAAGAATCAACATTATTAAAATGTCCATATTCAAATGGGCCCATACTATAGTTTTATTAGATGAAGGTTGTATCCAGACTTTTATTGTTGGAGATTCAGCTTGTGCCTAAGGTGTAACTGTGTGAGTCAAATCTTATATTCATGAATTAAGTGATAGAAATTCATCTTGAGTCCAAGTTTCATTTGTGATACCTACAGTTTCTGTCCATATATTTACTAGTGGAGATTTGGCGTGAATCCAGTCTGTAACTCTATTATTTTCAGGTTATGACCAAGAAATTAATGTTGAAGATGCTGCCTTTGTATACAATGAGACTTATCAGCTATACACTGTGTCCAGAGATTTACTACAGGAGAGTCAGCAGCCTCTGTCCACTGTCTGGCTAAACTAGTCTCAATCTGTATCCTATAATTTAGTATTAAAGACTCAGACTCTGTCCAAATATTTACTGTTGACAGTTCAGACTGTATCCTGTAATTGACTGGTATTATTTCAGCCTGATTCCAAGCATTTACTGTTGGAAATTTATTTTGGGTACATGGTATGTCTCTAGTAGGTGGAGGATGTATCTAGAGATTTATTGCTGGATATGCTGTTCATGTTCATGTTGTAAATATATCAGACACAGATTGTGTCAAAGGCAATATGAATGAAATATGAGTTTCAATATGAATGAAAATCCCTAACTTGGGAACTAGCAAAGGAGGTACAGCCTGTTTCCACAGTGTATCTACACCACCACCTATGTGTGTCCCAATCTTCACTTCTGAAAAAAATTCACCTGGAGCCAATGGTGTGACTTTTGTGGAAATAGTCTCTATGTGGGCATTTATTTCTACTGACTTAGGCTGAGTCCATGATGTGACTGTATCTGTTTCAGGGTCTATACAGTAACTTATTGATGACTAAAATCCTGAGTGAAAAAGACTGTACCAGGTATAGGATATGTCAAGAGACTCACTGCAGGAAACTTGCTTTGAGCCCTCTGTGTTACTATTTCTGTTGCAGAATATGTCAAGGGATTTACTGATAAAAAATTCAGCCATGTTTCATAGTATAACTCTATTGGTTAGAGCTACTATTACAGAATTTGCTGTTGGCATTAAATCTTGGGTCCATAATATGACTATGTCAGTTTTAAACTGTGTAGAGGATGAATGATATTGGTAATGATCTCATTAATATCTATAGATCAATCAAATCTATTTATTAATATGTGATATGGCACAGTTCCTAGATTGTATAGATCATATTTTATTTCATTCATTTTTCACAAACCTATTCTTTAATATAGATTGATGATTTATTAATTGAAATAATTGTATTGAACTAATCTGCATTATATGATGACCTCAGCTCCATCCAGGTTTCCCATGTAGATGTGATAGGTGCACAAGGCCCTGAGCCATCCCCAGGAGCTCCAACCACATCTCCCTCATGGGTACAGCAGGAGTACAAGTCCTGGAGCCATTGCCTGGTGCCTCTTGGGTGTACATTAGCAGGGAGCTCTATTGCATTTACAACAGAAAATCCCCCTTTCTCCAGCTCTATGCACCCCTGACTGCCAGAAAGAAAGACTCCAACAGTAAGTGCATATTTCTAAGACAAAAACCGGCAAAGATGACCCCTTTGTAATTAGCTGCGATGGCTGGCTCTACTGTAGGTCAAAGCCATTGCGTAAGAGATCCTGGCTGATGGTAAAAAGAGATTTTTCTGAGTTTTGAAATATATGTGGCTCTGGCTGGGACTGGGGCTTGATAAAATGCAGCCAACAGCTTGCAAAAGACTTCCCTTGCGTGCATTGAGAAAACCCACAGGAAAGTTTAATTCCCACCCACAAGCAAAGGAAATGAGTCTCTATTGCTGAGAGCAGATGGGTTTTGCAACTGGCCACAGAGAGATCCTGAGGCTCAGGGCACAGAGGCTACTGTGGCAAGGTGTCAGAGGCAGTGACCCCGAGGGGCTGGCTTGGTGCCATGGATCCAAACTCACAGCAGCTCTGGGTGTAACAAAACTCTGCACCCTAGCCCAGGACAGGTGGCCAGAAGCAAGCCCAGGAGTGGTGTGATTGACATATGACAGAAGTCTAGGGTAGGTTCCCCAAAGCCATCCAAGGAACAGTACGATTGACAGGATGCACCTGTTTATCTCAAATCACTGGGGCCCCAGGAGAGAGGTCTCTGCAGATGGTATTGAGTGACTGATTGTGAGCTAGCCCTGGAGCTCCACCCCAGGTCTCCCAAGTGGGTGCAGCAGGTGCCCAAGGACTTCAGCCACCACCTTCTGCCTGCCCGAGGCTCACTCATAATCAGGTCCTCAGATAAGGACGTCCCCAGCAGCATCTCAACTGTTCACCATGGGGTCAGTGGTGGAATTCAGTTCCCTGCTCATGTGCACCCTGGCAGACAGCAGGTGATGGTTCAGGTAAAGGGGTCCCTGGCACCCATGTGAGACACCTGGATGGAATTCCCAGCTCTCAGATCCCACTTGGCCCAGCTCTGGCTGTTGCCAGGAAACCAGCAGAGAGAGAGGATCTCTGCCTCTCAATCTGTCTGTCTGGGAGTCAGGGCATGCCAAGCCCTCCTCTGTCTGTCTCAAGCCACCTCTGAGTTCCTTCTGGGGTTCCTCATACCAACATCCTGTTCGAGAGAAACCCCAGGTGTCGTCAACACGGGGGTGACCTCCCCTTTCCTTGTCCCCCTTGTTTCCTCCCATTCCCAGTCCCAATTCTGCCTTTCCCAGCCCACCTGTCTCCAGGAGATCACTACAAACACTGCACCCAGAATCCACAGTCTGGCCTCAGCTGCCCACACACAGGGCAAACATGCTACTCTGCCCAGCGCCAGTCCTGTCCCTGAATGCACCCACAGTGCCAGAAGTCATCCTTGCTGGGGCTCCTTCTCCAAGAGCCCATCAGTGCCCTGACCACTCCCCCGTGCAACTAAGGGTCGCAGAGCAAGGGCACCCTCATTGGCTCTGCTTTTCAAGGGGTGGAGCCGCAGCTGCAAAATATAAACACAGCCGGAGTTGGGAGACCACGAGCTTTGGTTTCTCTTTGGGCAGTGGGGCCCTGTGCAAAGCAGGAAGCTAGAGCTGAGAAGCTGTCAATCACGTCACAGAGGGGAGACGGATACAAGGCAACAGCCATAAATCATCCACCGTGGCGAGAGGAATGCAAGGTAACAGCCGTTGATCGCGGTGGGGTGCGGAGTACGAGGTAACTGCGAGGGTGAGGGGCAGGGGCAGTCTGTGCTCTCTGCAGAGCCCATGCTGGCCAAGATGGGGCGTGCGCGCCGGGGGCGGGGGTGAGCAGCCTCCGTTGGCAACCGAGCATTTGAACATGGCCGATTCAATAAGAGTCATGGCTCCGTGTAGAGACGCAGGATCAAGCATCCGTGGCCAGCACCTCAGGGATGGTTGTGAGCTTGGTTCTAAGCCACAGTGATAGATTTCAGGCACGCTGGGTTCCATGAACCCTAAGGAGACAATTCATGTCACAATTTGCACCTGTTAATTGCTTTTTTATTGTATGTTTAGATTGTATTTGAAAGGCAGAGAGATAGAGACAGACACAGATAGACAGAGCTCCCATGGAATGGTTCATTCCTCCCCGAGATGCCCACAACAGCCCAGGAAGGGCCAGGCCCAAGCTGGGAGTTGAGACCTCAGTCCTGGTCTCCCACCCACTGAATGGCAGGTGCACAAGGACTTGAGCCATCACCTGGTGCCACCCATGGGCGCATTAACAGGGAGCTGCAGCCAGGGGCCAGGAGCTCCTTCCCGGTCTCCTGTGTGGCTACAGCAGTGCCCCAGTATTGCAACCATCACATGCTGCATCCCAGGTGTGCATTAGAAGGGAGCAGGAGCCAGGAGCACCATCCATGTCTCCCATGTGGATGCAACAGGTGCACAAGGCCCTGAGCCATCCCCAGGAGCTCCATCTGGGTCTTCCATATGGGTGCAGCAGGTGCAGAAGTACATGAGCAATCACTTGATGCTTCTCAAGTGCATCAGTAGGGAGCAGGATCTGAAGTGCAGCAGCAGGGACTTGAACTGGCACTTGGAGTCAGCAACAGGGACAAGATTCTTGTCATTGCTGCCATTGCTATCAGAGCAAAGAGGACACCCATGTGCAATAGTCATGTTTGCAAGAGATAATGAGGCTGACACACAGAGACAGACACACAGACAGGCACACATACACACACACAATACAATGCACCCATGTACATACATGCTCATATGCACATTAGTCCACCCATACATGTGCATGGTGCACACATATGTAGATGTACACATGTGCATCTGCCTCAGAGCCTTCCGTCCTGTAAGAAGCCACGTGTACTCAGCACAGCATTCTGGAGGAGCCCAGCATCCTCCCACCCTCATCCTCCCCACCCAGATGCTGCTGTCACTGCTGCTGCCAAACACCCCAGGTACCTGCTCTCCTGCGCTCACCATGACAGCCCTGTGGCTGACCTTGCTCCTCATGCCCACCTCCCATCTGCTTCAAATCCACCCAGGTAGGCATCAGTAGCTTTTAATGATCTTATTTTATTTATTGATGAGGCAAGAGAGAGACAGCAGATCTTCGATCCCCTGGTTCACTCTCCAAATGCCTGTAACAAACAGGGCTGGGCCAGGCTGAAGCCAGGAGCCAGGAGTTCCATTAGGGTCTCCCATGTGAATGCAGCAGGTGTACAAGGCCCTGAACCATTCCCAGAATCTCCAACTGGGTATCCCATGAGGCTGCAGCAGGTGCACAAGACCCTGAGCCATCTCCAGGAGGTCCATCCTGGTCTCCCATATGGGTTGCAGATGCTGAAGCACTTGTGCCATCACCTGCTGCCTTCTCAGGTGCATTAGCAGGGAACTGGATCAGAAGCAGAAGCAGGATGCAAACTAGCAGTGTGATGCTGGCATCACAAGGGGCAACTTAATCCCGTGTGCTGCGATGCTGGCTCCCAGCCATCAGGATTTTGATCCTGAGAGATTCATGTCATGGGCTTATCTGAAATTGCTTGAGCACTGGGATCTGTGCCTCTGCTTCACCCAGTGTGATCGTTCTGATGAGACTACATCTGATGTGTGTTCTGCTTCAGGTAGCTGGAAAAAAAAAAGCCCATAATGGCTCAAGCACTTATACACCTGCCACCCATGTATGAGACCCAGATGAGGCTGCTGAATCCAGCTTCCTGTTTTTGCCAGGGAGGCAGCAGGTGATTGCCCAAGTACTTGTGCACCTGTTGCACCCACATGGGGACCTGGATGGAGTTTTCAGCTAGGCTCAGCCCTAGTTGTTGAGGCCATCTGTGGAATGAGTCAGCAGATCAGATCCCTTCCTTCCTTCCTTCCTTCCTTCCTTCCTTCCTTCCTTCCTTCCTTCCTTCCTTCCTTTCTCCCTTGACAGGCAGAGTGGACACTGAGAGAGAGAGACAGAGAGAAAGGTCTTTCTTTTGCCATTGGTTCACCCTCCAATGACCGCCACAGCCGGCGCGCTGCAGCAGGGGCGCCGCGCTGATTCGAAGCTGGGAGCCAGGTGCTTCTCCTGGTCTCCCATGGGGTGCAGGGCCCAAGCACTTGGGCCATCCTCCACTGCACTCCTGCGGCACAGCAGAGAGCTGGCCTGGAAGAGGGGCAACCGGGACAGAATCCGGCGCCCCGACTGGGACTAGAACCCGGTGTGCAGGCTCCGCAGGCGGAGGATTAGCCTATTGAGCCGTGGCGCCGGCCTGTCCCCTTCTTTCTTTCTCTCGAGTCAGTTGATTTTCTTTAAAAAAAAAAAAAAAAAAAGAATATCGTCTCTCTCCTATAAACTTTTCAGACATGAGTCCACCCATCACGAACCTCAGGATGGAAGCAAAACCTGACAGGCTGACCTGGGACCTCCATGGAAATGCAACCAATATTAAATGCATCAAAGACTCCAAGCAAATCCTGAAGGTAAAACCATTGTCCTCTGTCTCAGTCTGAGGTTTGTCTCAGACCTGAGACACCAGGGAGCTGACAGCCTGAGTTCCTCTTTCCGGTCTCTGAGTTCATCCTGGAGAAGCAGAGAGGGAGAAATATATCTATATCTATATTTATATCCATATCTATATCCATATCCATATCTATCTATTTATCTATCTACCTATATAGATAGATAGATAGAGAGAGAGAGATAGAGATTGAATCTTCCATATTCTGGTTCACTTCCCAAATGGCTATAATGGCCGAGGTTGGGCCACAGGAAAACCAGGAGCCAGGAGCTCTATCTGGGTCTCCCACGTGGATTGCAGGGACCCGTGATCTTTAGCCATCTTCCTCTGGCTTTCACAGGCACATAAGCAGGGAACTGTATCGAAATGGAGCAGCCGGGATTCGAACTCTTGCTCTGACATGGGTTGTGGGCATGACAAGTGGCAGCTTCATACAGGACACCACACTGTCACCTGCCATGGATTTTTTTTAAAGTCGCAGTTCTCTACTGTGACCCTTAGATGGAGCTATTTCTACACACATGATTCTATGGTTTTTATAAAAAAACGTCAACATGCTTCACATCCATCCGAACACGTCCTGGAGAGGATCCCAGGTTCTCCTCCTGTCTTTCTTAGGCGGAGCAGGACAGGTACTGTGAGTACCACGCACTCTCCCTGTGCAAAGTCAGCAATTACACCGTGCGCGTTGGCAATCCGCCTTTCTCCACGTGGATCCTGTTCCCTGAGCCAGGTGACCAGAGATACTCCTTCCGCTTTTGGTGGGGGGTGGGGTGGGGGGTGGGGGGTGGTTCAGGGCTGGGCCAGGCTGCAGCCAAGAGCCAAGAGCTCCATCAGGGTCCCTTACGTGGGTGGCAGCAAGTGCACAAGTTCCTGGGCCAGCCCCAGGGACTCCCTCCGGGTCTCCTACCTGAGTGCACCAGAGACCGCTCTGGAAAGCAACGCGGGTTTGTCTTCTTTGCCACTGCAGACGGCGACTCTGAGGCCGCGGCCAAGAACCTGACTTGCTGGGTGCACGACATGACTGTGCTCACTTGTCGCTGGGCTGTGGGCAGGGCGGCCCCGCGCGGTGTCCAGTACCGGCTCTCCTGGAGAGTAGGGTAGGTGCGTCTGCTGTGTTCCTGGCCCGCCTGTGGCTTGGTTGGGAAGAGCCGCGGGCTCGCTCCCGACCTCCCTGTCCTGCGCACAGGAGCGGCAAGGACCTTGAGTGCCCGCGCTACCACGTAGACGAGCGCGGCGTGCGAGTCGGCTGCCGCTGGGATGATGTCTCCAGGTACCAGGGCGGGTTCCTGGTGCAGGTGCATGGCGCAAGCGCAGGAGCCCGTATCCCCTGCAAGGAAGACATGGTGGATTTCTTCCAGCAGGGTTAGTACTGACCGGGTGGGCCCTGCCCGCGCTTGCCCTTAGCACTGGGAGGTTCCTGCTCTGAGCAAGATGCCATGGGCCGCCAAGTTGGATAGAGGGTCAGGGGAGACGGAGGAGTAGGAAGAGGTGGAGGAGGAATGGAGGAAGAGTAGGAGGAGGACAGAGAAAGGGAGGAGCAGGTGGGGAGGGGGTAAAGAAGACGAAGAGGAAGGAGCACAAGATGAGGACGGGAGGGGAGAAAGAAGAAAAGGAGGAGGAGGAGAAACGGGGAGGAGGGGAAGAAGGGAGGTAGAGGAAAAGGAGGAGGAGAAGAGGAGGAGGAGGAAGGTAAAAGGGAGGAGCAAGCAGGGAGGAGGAAGAGGGGGGAGAAAGATGATCGGATAAGAAGGGAGAGAGGGAGGAGCAGGTGACTGCTGACCCTGGCCTCTGTCTTACTGCAGCCCCCAGTGTGCAAGAAGCAGATTTTTCCAGTCTCTGCGGAGACAATGTTTCTGTGTGTCTCCCACAGGGAAAACATATTCTCTATTTCTGTCCCCTGCCTGTAGAGAGATTGAGTCCGCCAAATGTCACCATAAGGTGCAATCTCACCCATGCTTTCCTGGAGTGGAAGAACGTGAGCCATTTCAACCGCAGAGTCCGTTACCAGCTGAGCATACAGAGGGTAAACACTTGGGGCAACTGGAGAAAGAAGAGAGCGACAGAGAGAGAGAGAGAGAGAGAGAATCTTCTATCTGCTGGTTGACTCCCCAAGTGTCTACAGCAGCCAGGGCTGGGACAGGCTGGACAGGCTGGAAACAGGATCCAGGAGTTCCATCCAGGTCTCCCACGTGGGTGCAGCTATCCCCAGGAACTCCATCCTTGTTGCCTGCGTGGGTACAGTAGTTACACAGGGACCTGAGGCATCCCCAGGAGCTCCATCCGAGTCTCCCACATGAGTGCAAGGGCCCAGGAACCTGGGCCATCCTCCACTGCCTTCCCAGTTGCATTAGCAGGGAGCTGGATTGGAAGCAGAGCAGCTGCGATTCAAAGTGGCAGACACTGGTTGCTGGAGTTTTAGGTGGCAACCTAACTCACTGTGCTACCATGCCAGCCCCATTAGTATTATATATCCAATGAGTCACACTTTTTCATTTTTTATATGTATTATTTACATATAATTGCTTATTGATAATCTTTATAACTGTGTGTTATATTTATTATACTCAAATATTAATTATTTCATTTGCTAAAAAGGCTCTTTTTCCCCAAAGGGTCAAGTTTTTTTGAGTTTATTGTTTTAGAGTGGGTAGTTTTTTTTTGTTTGTTTTCTAAGTGACTATGTCACCAACTTATTTCTCCCTTTCACTGATGGGAAGGAGCAGGTATTGCTGCAGTCAGAGGTAAAGTCCTAGTTCAGCTTCAGCTGGGACCCTCATGAAATGTGCTGCCTATGAAGCAGTCACCTACTGGCAGTCACTTTGTCAGTACTTATTGTCCCAGCTGGACCTTCTGCCCCACTCCCACCCCTTACCCAGACATTTTGGGGGGAGGTAGAAGGGGAAGGTTCCTTGGGGGAGTGGTTTCCTTCTACTCAAAAAGTTCTTTGGCTTTTTCTCTTGCAGGGCCAAGGAGCTCCTGTGGAGCAAATTGTGAGCACCCCTTAGCAGCTCAGATTGGAATTGTACAGGGTGGGCTTGTTAATATCATGGCTGAGCACTGCCCCCACCCTGCCCCGTGGGATAGACTCCACCCACCGACTGCCATCTCAACCAGCCACACATGGAGGGACGAGAAAAGAGATTCAATGATGCCCCCAAGATGAGAGACCCCACAAATTTGCTCCGTGCCTTTGCCCAGAAACCCCTTAGCCTGGGGCCGGTCACCTGGGATTCAGGGTGGGGCCAGTTTGGCAGACTGTGGCTGCATCCCTCAGAGAAGAGGGTGTACCAGTGGGTGGTTGCAGCCTGAGCGGGGCACCCTGTAGGTTCCAGCAGACATCTCACCCACACCAGTCCCAGCCAAGGTGTTCAGGCCAAAAGCACATGTGTTGGTGGACTAGATGGTCTTGGACCCTTTATGGGGCTTAGATCAGCATGCAGTGCCCCACCTGCCAATCTACTTGCCAATCACCATGCAAAAGAAGAGAAGTAGCTGTTGGGTCAGAGAGAGCCCTGAGCTGGCACAGGGAGTAGTGGCAAGGCCCCAAGCCCCTTTCTGAGCACTGAGTGCTGCCTGTGGATGCTGGCCTGGGCTTTCCCTGGGGGACATCTTATGCCAGGAGCTGGCATAGCCACAAGCTGTGCACATAAGAGATGTCCTGCTCCCTCTCATGACTCTGCGCCAAGTGCTTGGTGCCACTTTTGCTTCCTGGGGGTTTCAAGTGTGCCCTGGCTTTGCAGCCTCAGCCCTCTGCTCATGCTACATGCATTTGCAGTGGATCAGCCACGCCCCCTGCTGCAGAGCAACCTCAGTTCTGCTCACCAGTCCTGCAGCATCTGTTGGCAAATCCGGCCCCAGCCTGAGACCCTGGGCACCCTGGCCATACCCTTTGCCTACCTGTGGCCACACCCTCTCTCTACCCATTCTCCAGTTCCGAGACAACGTGAATTCGTTGGACCTCCTCCATCCAGGGACTTTCGTGGTGAGAATCAGAGCAGAGGCATACCTCGCAGGCATACGCAGTGACTGGAGCGCACCCCAGCGCTTTGGTGAGAGCCATGACCACCTGGTAGTTTCCTGGGAGTGGTGGGTGCCACTCCCAGAGCCACACACGTGCGTATCCCGCACTTGTCATCCACGGGTTCTCCTTGCTACTTCTTCGGCTTCCTAAGGCCTTGCTCCACGTGTGTCTCTCAGAGGGGACCCCTGAGCCCCAGAGCACACCCACGGTTGGCTCTCAGCCCACGGGTGTCACAGGTCTTGCTTGCTAGGCTCTCATGACTGACTGTTGGAGACATAGCCTGGCAGGTAGAGCTCAGGCATCTGGGCCCTGGAACTCTGTCTCCAGAGACATGCATCTGGGTATCCCCGGGAGGTGGGGAAGAGAGGTGGCCAAGCCAAGACATCCCCCCTTCCATTTCCCATTCAGTGTGCGACTCTGCAGGGGACACCTTGAGCCGTGTCTGGTGGGCAGCTCTGCTGATTGCCCTGGCGATGCTTCTGGCCCTGCTGTTCATGTTCCTGCTGTGCAGACGGTAAGAACCACCAGCCTGCTCCTCTGGATCTCCAGAGACTCTAAAGCGGATCTCAGAGAGAATGGGACGCCACGGGGCAGGAGGCAGGAAGCACCCGGTGAGGTCTGTGCTGCCTCCCCTCTGCCGCTCCACGAACTTCCCTGTCTCAGGGGCTATCATGCATGAGCGCGCCACATGGCTGCCGGCCTCGCTCAGTCCCTGGCATTTATCTCCTCCTGTCTCCTTCGAGGTTCTCGGTGGTGCAGAAAATCCTCCCTCCTGTGCCTAACGTGAAAGACCCCCTGTGGGACCTCGGGCAGAACTACAAGCTGGTATGAGCTGTGGCAGACACAGCTGGCTATGTCTGGGGGCTCTGCCCACTTCTGACTTCTGCTCCCCTGCCTCCCCGCCCCGCCTGACTTCCACTTATGCCTTGCTGACTTCCCCTTGCAGCCACTCCTGCCTTATGCTTCTGACCACTCCTAACTTCTGCTTCTGCTCACCTGCAGGTGGTCTGGGACATTGGCCAACCCAGCCCAGAGGACTGTCCTGTGGCCCAGGTACAGGTGCAGGAGACGGCTTGAAGCGCCTGCCCAAGGCCCGGCCCAGCTTGCCTCGCCTGGTTCCCCAGTTTCCCCTCAATAGTTGCAAGGAGCTGCCTTGGAAAGCTTGGTACTGTGTGCACTCCCTCAGTTAAGTGGTTTTTCTGCCTCTCGCTGGGTGGACGCAGCCCAATTACCCCCAGGAGTCCTCTTCCAGATCCTCTGTTAATGGAGCCCAGGTCTCTGCCTAACCTGGACACCACGCCTGCATCCCTTATGGGCGCCGTATTCTAGTCCCAGCTGCTCCTCTTCCAGTCCAGCTCTCTGCTGTGACCCGGGAATGCAGTGGAGGATGGCCCAAGTACTTGGGCTCCTGCACCCGCGTGGGAGACCAGGAGGAGGCACCTGGCTCCTGGCTTCGGATCGGTGCAGCGCCAGCCATGGAGGCCATTTGGGGAGTGAACAAACAGAAGGAAGACCTTTCTCTCTGTCTCTGTCTCTCACTATCTAACTCTACCTGTCAAATAAAAAAAAATTAAAAAAAGAAAATAACAAAGTCATCAAAATGCATGAATAAAAATAAGCATAAATAATATGGTATAAGTTACAGACTGTATTTTTGCTCCCTACTCCCCAATTCTTGTTGAAATCCTAATCTTATATTTGGGAGTCGATTAAATGTTGATGACAGAGCCAACATAGATGGGATTAGGGCCCTTAAAAAGGAGACTCTAGGAGCATACAATCAAGAGCTGATAACATGCAACCTGAAAGACACCTTTTACCAGAGTCTGACCCATGTTGGCATCCCAATCTTGGAACTTAAGTCTCCAGGTCTATAAGAAATAAACTTATTTTTTCGTAAGCCACCAAATGGTATTTTATTATGGCAGCCCAAGCAAAGATCAGAAACACTCTCTGTGGAGCTGTGACAGAAACAAAGTGCATACTGCCACACAAAACAACATTGGTGGGCCGGCGCCGTGCCTCAATAGGCTAATCCTCCGCCTGCAGCGCCAGCACACCGTGTTCTACTCCAGGTTGGGGCGCCAGATTCTGTCCCGGTTGCTCCTCTTCCTGTCCAGCTCTCTGCTATGGCTGGGCAGTGCTGTGGAGGATGGCCCAAGTTCTTGGGCCCTGCACCCCATGGGAGACCAGGAGAAGCACCTGGCTCCTGCCATCGGATCAGCGCAGTGCGCTGGCTGCAGCGCGCTGGCCGCAGCGGCCACTGGGGGGTGAACCAATGGCAAAGGAAGACCTTTCTCTCTGTCTCTCTCTCTCACTGTCCACTCTGTCTGTCCAAAAATAAAAATAAAAAAAAAAAACATTGGTGATTTTCAAAACTGTAGTTATGATAGGAAAAGAGACAGGCCCATAAGACTTTATTAGCATGATGCCATTTCTATGAAGCTCAGATATAAGCATAGCTCAACAACAATTTGCTTAGGAATGCCCATGTGAAAGAATATTTTATAGAAATCAAGACACCAATAGAGACAGAGTTCAGAGTGGTGGTGGCTCTGGTGGGAACAGACAAGAGGAAGATGGTGAAGTCTGACAGGATTATGGCCCTTGTGTTTGATGATGGTACCACATGCATTTGTTATCAATATTAGACTTCAGAATCTCAAAATTAATATATGCATTATTTTTCATTTATCAATTGTTGCATTGAAAGCATAAAGAAATATACAAGTTCTTCAAAATGTCTGGGGAGATGTAATTAAAGGTTATTTTGGTGCCAAAATTTTGAAGTCAGTGCATGTAAAGGGTCTTTATAAAATTGATGAGAAAATGTATACTATGCAAAAACTATGCAAGGATTGCAACAGGTTTTTTTGTTTGTTTGTTTTTCAATTTTCACTTAATTTTTTGAGAGACAGAGAAACAAATAGGCACACATATACATGCATAGACTCAAACACAGGGCTCCCATCTACAGGGTCACTCATTAAATGCTCACTGCAGCCTGTTTCCAGGGCTGAAGCTGGGAGCCAGGAAGGCAATCCAGGTGTGTTATATGAGTAGTGGGGCCCCAGCTACTTGGAAATGCAGCCTTCCAACATGTGTGTTAGCATGAAGTCAGTTAGAAGTAAACCAGCACTTGAACTCAGGTATTTCAATATGGGATTTTGGCATCACAGTCAGCATCTTAACTGGTAGACCAAATACCCTACCCTAATTTTGCTTTTATATTTTCAAATGTACCCGACACAGACATCATCCTTGATCTTTCTGAGTGGGCCTTGACTTTGACCTGCCTACCTGCACTTAGTCTCCCAACCCTATCTTAAAAAGTCAGTGTAGACAGAATCCTCTCCTCTATATCACATCAAATTCAAAATCCTTACTCATGATTTTTTGGTATTTTTACAGTTTATTATTATTATTATATTTGTTCACGAGACAGAAAGAGAGGAAGAGAGAGATGGAGAGCTCCCATGCACTGAATCATTCCTCAAATGCCTGCAACAGCTCTGACAGGGCTAAGTGGAAGCCAGGGGCCTGAAACTCAATTTAAGGTCTCCCATGTGGTTATCAGCAGCACTGTTACTTAACCAATGCTGCTGTGTGAATCTGTAGTCAGAAGCCAGAACTGAGAATTAATTCCAGGCACTCCAAATGGACTTGGGCATCTTGACTGCTAGGCTAAATACCTCCACAATCCAATTTTCAATTGCATTTTTCTTTCTTTTTTCCATTTCTCAAAGAAATTTTCTTTTGGTATAATGTATTAAGCCACCGCCTGCAATACCAGCATCACATATGGGCACCGGTTCAAGTCCTGGCTGCTCCACTTCAGATGCAGGTCCTTGCTAATGTGCCTGGAAAATCAGTGGAAGATGGCCCAAGTCCTTGGGCCCCTGCATCCAAACGAGACACCCCAATGAAGCTCCTGGCTCCAGGCTTTTGTCTGGCCGAGCTCTGACTATTGTAGCCATCTGGGGAGACATCCAGCTAATGGATGATATTCTCTTTCTCTTCCTCTAACTCTGCCTTTAAAGTAAATAAAATCTTAAAAAAAATATCTACAGGGGCTGGTATTGTGGCTTAGCCAATCAAGCAACTGCTTATGATACCAGTATTGCATATGGGTGCCAGTTCAAGTCCTGTTTACTCCACTTCTGATCCAGTTCTCTGCTAATGGCCTGGGAAAAGCAGTGCAATATGGCCCAAATATTTTGGCCCCTTCCACCCACGTGGGAGACCTGGATGAAACTCCTGGCTCCTGGCTTCAGCCTGGCTCAACTTGGCCATTACTACCATCTGGGGAGTGAACCAGTAAATGGAAACCAACTCTCTCTCTCTCTCACTCTTTCTCTCTCCCCCTTTCCCTCTCTTTCTGTAACTCTGTCAAATTAGTAAGTACAAACATTTGTTAAAAAATCTATAGAGTTATTAATGTGGGATATCAATTGGACTTATTTTTTATAGATTCAAAAAAACTCATAATATTGACTTTGAAGATAGATATTTTTGCCTCACGTTAAGGGGGATTAGACTTAAGTAATTCTAGTTGTTCAATAAAATAATAACTTTCTTGAAAAGATATATAATGTTATATATCACAAAACATTTTGTGGGTTCAGGGACCCAAGCACTTGGGCCATCCTCTGCTGCTTTCCCAGGTGCATTAGCAAGGAGCTGGTTTGAAAGTGAAGCAGCCAGGACTCCTACTGGTGTCCATATGGATGCCAGTGCTGCAGGCTGGGGCTTTAACCCATTGTGCTACATTGCTGGCCCCAAATATTTTAAAGCATTTTATATGAAGAGACTGTAATTAATTTCAAATTCCCATAATAGATGATCTCAAAACAGTTTTATTGTTTTTTTCCAATTTACAGCCATCTACTTATTTTCTGTGGCTTAGTAATTTAAATTCTGCATCATTTTTTGAGTTTGAACATGAGATTTGACATTTACTAATTTAGTATTGTTTTTGCTAAAGAGTTGCTTATTTATTTATTTGAGAGTCAGAGTTACAGAAAGAGAAGGAGAGATAAAGTGATCAGTCTTCTATCTTCTGGTTCACTCCCCCAGATGACCACAATGGTCAGGACTGGGACAGGCCAATGCCAGATGACAGGAGCTTCATCTAGGTCTCCTATGTGGGTGGCAGAGGATCAAACACCTAGGCCATCTTCTGCTGCTTTTCCTAGGTCATTATCAAGGAGATGTATTGGAAGTGGAACAGCTGGGACAACCAGTGCCCATATCGGATGCTGCTGTTGCAGACGTTGGCTTTACTTCCTTCACTGCAATGTCTGCCCCCTTTTTAGTATTTTATACCCATTTTATCTTCTTTGAAATGACCCACCTAAACTCAAAGATTGCTTTGGGTTAGGAAATAAGATCATCTATGTAATGGATTTTTCATAATGGCAAGCATATAGTTATTGTTCCAGGAAATTTTAACTCAAGAAGTATTATAATAATGTTATATAACTGTCCAACATGTTTTATGCCTATGATTAATTAGTAGATTTTATTTGCATTATGTAATTCACCTAGTAAGAGAAATACAAACAGTAATAAACAGTTGCAAGACATGATAAGGATAAATGCTATAATTGAAGATCTACAGCATGTCCTAGGAATATTAAAAATGTAGAAAACTCTCAGTCTTAAAAGGGTCATACCTAAATTGAGATCTGCAATATAAGAAGAAATTCTTGGATAAAAGGATATGAGGAGTATTTAAGCCAGAGAGTTCAATATATACAAAAGCCATCTGTGAATGAAAGAACACGTAGTGTTCAAGAAACTGAAGTTTACTGCTTCAGTAGCATGGAGTATAAGGAGTAAGGTAACTTTAGATGAAACTGAAAAGGAAATCAGGCTCTTGGTTTGTTTGGTTTCACTCTAAATAGTAGCTCAAAATTGTTAAAACAATCTTTTAAAAATTCTATGCCTTATATTCTCATATTCCTTAAACTAAAATTATGAAAATTTAAATGTTAGTTTATCACATTATCTCATTTTATTATAAAGTGATTCCAAATTTGACAAACTTTCTTATATTAATATAGACCTTAAGTAATGGTTCTGGATTTTCCCCCCACTTTTCATTTTGAAAAAAATTGAAGGAATATGACATTAAACTATGAGATTTTCACCTGGAGTCATTAGTTGCTAATTATTGTCATGTTTGCCTCTTGTTCAATTTTACATATATGGATATGTGTTTCGTAAGCACTCTTGTGTGCTTTCTTCTGATGAGTCATTTTAATGTCATCACACTTGTCAGACAAGTTAACCTACAATCTATTTTTAAAAAAGGGCAAAAGAGGTTATTGAACATGGCGAGGCCAAGGCAACTTCGGCTGGCTGACAAGCTCACAGCAGAAGGTCTGTCTCAGCAAGGCCTGAGAATGACAGCTGCAGTCCTCTTGGTGGTTTTGAGTTTGTTGGGAGCTACACTCTGCATAAGAAAGCCAGAGCCTCCTGGTGGTCCAGCTAATGATTGCTGTATTCCTAATTTTAGGGAAGAGTGCTTAATTTCAAAATCCCCAAAATGTCCATTGCTTTGTAGAATTTTAATCAAGCAGAATGTTAGTGTAGGAGAAGGAGTTAATGCTTTACGCAAGGTTGAGCTGTTTGTG